TGCGGTGCAAAATGCGTAATTTCATAAATTTGACTTTGCCCAAAACTCAACTTGTTTCTTTTGGACTTTTTTTCGGAAAGTAACTAAAATAAATGAGAAGAGAGAAGTTTTTTTTGAGACTTTGGAATTTTCCTCAAGATGTTTTTTCTCTTAAAAAAATATAGAGCAGACGTTTCTGCAAGAAAATTTCGCAAACCAGCCTTTTTCAATTGAAATTACTATCTCAAATTTGATAGGGTAGTTTTCGAGAAAATTCAAGAAGTTTTTTCAAAAATTGTACAAGTTAAAAAATTGACTTTCCAAAATCGGTAATTTTTTTCTGTTAAAAGCAGGTCAATCCGGTAAACTAGAGAAAATTCCCAAGATCGAGACTCTCGAGTCAACACTTAACCTAACGGTATTTTTTGATAAGAGTAAAAAACTTGTTTGAAAGCCATAAACCTTTTTTCTGAAAAAAATGGGAGTAGCAATATAAGAAAACTAAATGTCTAGCAACCTGTTGGGTTGATTGAACCTTTGAAATTAAATTTGGCAGGATAGTTATCGAGAAAAAAAACAAAAATTGGACAACAAATCAGAAAGTTGACCTTTACGAGAATCGCTTTAGCTTTAAGTTTTAAAAGTTCATAAATTTTTTCGGTAAAGTTCATAAATTTTAGAAAAAAGCTCAAAATCAAAAAATTGACTTTTTCGAGGACGATAACTTTTTGTGTAGGAAAAAATGATTGAATTTAAATGCAGAGGAGCTTCTTACTACCCTTTATCTCCATTCAACCCACAACCTCAGGTTTGGAAGATTAGTTTTCCAGAGAAGTTTACAAAAAATCAAAAACTTGACTAATCCGAGGATCATAATTTTATCTATAGGATTATTCAATCCTAACCGCTTATAAAGGGGAGTTTTTTCAATCCGTTTCACTCACTGAAACGAAAATTTTTTAGGCTAGTTTTGAGATTAAAAAACTGTCAAAAAATCCCCCCACACTTTTTTTTTGAAGGCTGCAGACAAAGATGTAAAGCAAAAAGATACAAGAAGAGTATGCAGGCACACGAGAATTGGAACTGTTTTTCTACGAATACCCACTGTTTGAAAATCAAAGGAAAAAGTTTGAGAAGAAAAATAAATTTGTTGCAAAAACTATTAAACATTTCCAAAGCGCCTCAAAACATCATAGAAAAACCCATACACTTTCATAATATCTGTTTTTAGCGCACATGAATTCTAGGTAAGCATACCAAGCAAGAAACTTGACAATTAAATTAGCAACAGAACAAAACTTACAAAGCTGAATCGAGGCCGATAATATTTCAGCAGGCACCAGTTGAGCCGAAAAAACTGATTTTGTATAAACAAATTTAAAAGTTTCAACTCAACACTGAAACTATCCTGCAGACCCATCCAGTAGTTGAATTTGAACTTTCATGAAATTGACCATATCAGCTGAAGAGCATATATAGTGAAGAGCATGTCAATTGATTCAACTGATTTTGTTAAACTAGTTGTTAACCCGAAAAAAAGTCTACTTTCCGATTTGATAATGCTTGTTTATTGCCATGGTGTAATCAAATTGATCCTAATGCTTTTTTTGCTTTAATCCCACTTACATGTTATACTGAACGCAAAAATGGCAAAATTGCGTGTAGCTAGGATCCTATTTTCTTAGAAGGAACTAAATGAACTCGTTGTTCTGGTTTTTGAAGAAAGTGAGTGAACATTTGTGCTCGGTGCAGTCTTTTCATCAGAGATTTTCGAGTTTTTGAACATGTCATGATCCTGACTTTACATAAAAAAAACATATTTATGTGATTTTTTTTAAATTTCAGACTTGAGATAAAGAGCGACTTATAATTTTCGACTTAATAATTACACTGAACGCGACAATGGCAAAATATTGTAACGCCGAACGCTTTTTTATTTGAGCTGAGGCAAATTATTTGGCGTAACTAATTCGTTAGCAGAAATTACAAGGTTTTTTTATTTTCGAAGAAAGTGGTGGAACAGTTGGGCTCGATGCAGTTTATTCTTCAAAAATGTTCAGTTTTTTCCAGTGGTAGTTTATTACGGGACTTTTTGACATCATCTGAATATGATTGATATCGTGATTTCGATTGTTCTGTTTAAAAACATACTACGTGTGTAAACTTAATTTGAACATCTACAGGTTTGACATTTTCATTTTGATATAATCAACCAGATATGTTTTGTAATTTCAGCATTGATTTGCTTTGTTTTATAGCGTTTTCATCAGGTTTTTCTTTTTTGCCACAATTTTTTGTCATTTTTGAAAAAAAACATTCAGATAAAACTGGTAAGATGTGTGTACCCTAAAATTAGACACAAAAAGCGTTTTCAAATTTCAAATAATGATAATGCTTGTATCAGGCCAATACCCTGAATGTTCCAACTGCGATGTAACGTCTCATAATTTTTTTCAGAATGGAAAAATGGAGAAAACTTTTAGATGAGAAATTTTCATTTTTAAATTTTCAGATAAGAATTTTATTTATTTCTTGAAAATGGGTGCGTCGTACTTGCTACTACCACACAATCTTCTGAAACACAAATGCTTCTTCTTGAACATAAGCAATTATGAAGACGACAGATGCTTTGCATACTGCTTGGGTGCTGAGAATCAGCGACAGAGAAACATCCCGCTCACTAGTGGTACTATTGGCACAGGAGGAGTGAACAGGAGGAGAAAGTTAGCTTATCCGATCTTCGCAGAAACTGAAGAGCGCACGAACCAACAGGCGACTTCATCTATACAATGAAATTACCGGCTATTGGACGCTTGAAAATTCTCAATAAAATGCCAGTGAAGGTTCTTAAGTTAGTTAGCAAAAGATTATGCTGTTTTTGATTACTAATTTTTCAATGGTGTGAGCCTATATCTAAGCGTATCAAAACAAATTGTTTGCTGCACGCTCTTTGAAAAAATAAATTATGATTACTTGACTTAAAAGAAGAATAGCAGTCACTGTTTTAGGTACAGCAAAAAACCTTTCAATCTTGAAAGTGTCGCTATATCAGTCCACTTTTGCTGTGGGTTTGCTTTTACCAATCAATATTGGCATGCAACGTTGAGTGGTGATAAAAGACCTGAATAAATTTGTCAGGTAACAATAAAAACGAAAAACCAGATGGAGAAACTCGCTCTACCTACACTATTTCCACCGATGTTCATATGCCAAAAGAAGCAGTGGACCATTCAAAAAAATGGGGCCAAAGCTAGAGTCCTTTCGCGTGGTATTTAGAATCGGAGTCTGTATTGGAGATGGCGGAAACAGTGAGGAATGACACTGCCTGCTCGAGCAAAACCAAAACTGAAAGATATCAACCAGCCCTTTTTGCATTGTAGTTGTTGAAGCTGGAAACACGCAACCCGCGTTTTTACTTCATTGAGGAGTGGACGCGACTACTAAGTTTGTTCAAATGCTAGAAATTTTGGCGCGTGACTTTCGTAATAAAAAAACTAATATACGCGAACTACTTCGGAATCAAAGAAACCAATGCAACAGTACTGGGCAATAGTCTTTTCGATCGATCATTCCTCGCATGGGCTGACGGCAATTGCAACATCCTGAGATGTACCATACAATTTACTCCTGTCTTTGACAACAATCTTCAGAATTAAGATTTGCAGCATGTACTGAAGAGTATGCAAAATAATTATACCAGAAACATGTTTTCGGTCACTGCGCTCAATGATTAAAAATTCATTTCCCGTTCAGTTAGAGTGTGAGTTAGACCGTGCACTAACGAAAAAAGATATGTCTGTAATGTGTACAAAGATATCCGTTTTGTGGGCAGTTGTAAATCTATCAAAATCTCACTTGATGAGATGGTTCGGAAACTATCCGTTTACAAATTCTTATATCTCAATAACCGCTATCCTAGCCGACCGGAAGCATCGGTGTAACAAAAAGTTACATTTTGTAGTCATATGTTGACAGCCATGCAAGATACTTAGATGGTCTACGTGCCCGGGACAGGTGGACCAACACTCTGTAAGGAGGTGCTTTTAGTGTCAGTGAAACAGGATATGAAAATGCATGGTTTGTATACACTCGTTTCGTTTGTCAGATTTTGGGCAAGAATAGTGAACTATATCAAGAGACTGATACCTTGATTCCTGCATGCGCGTTGGGAAACAGATAAGCTAGACTGTGCTAATTCTTTCAAGGCTAGCAATCTCTCAGGGGATACTTTTTTGCGAACATGCAGACAAATCATTTCTCTAGCTCCCATTTAAATTATAAACACTCAACTAACAAACAACCCTACACAGAAGTGTTCACCTTTGCTCTAATAACTAATGCTATTCAAGAATCAAGAACCTTTAGACAATTTGTCCCCCTCAGCAACCAAAGGGTTATCCTTGGGCGCCAATATATGCTAATTTTGAAAAGAGCGCGCGCCGATAAAATGCAATTTTTGGTCAAAACTTCCGAAAATGTGCTAAAAATTGGCGTCCTAAATTTTTAAAATCAAAATAGGGTTTTTATAGTGTTCAGTTTTCTGGGAGCAATCGAAAAAATAATTTCGACGGCCAAAAAAGTATATGAAACCCCCTCCCCTTCGAGAAAATCTTAAATCCTAAAAATCTTATTCGTCTATATAGTTTTGTGAGATTATTGCTCCTCAGATTTGAAGGGGACGGTTAAAAATGGAAAAAACATTGACCTTTTTTTAAGTCAACGAAAAGGATTTTTCGAGCTCTCTTAAAGCACTAAAGACATTTGCCAAACTTTTCTGCACCGCAGGCAAAAAATTAAGAAAAAAAGCCATTTTAGGACCGTTTTTGGAAGGTTTTGACCAAAAATTGAATTTTTGGCTAGCTTTCTCTCCTAAATTTTATTTCATGTTGGCACCAAAGGCGCCTTTAGAAATTATAGGTTGAGTAAGAGTGGATGCCGTGAACAAGTAGTCAAGGGGGGGTGATCAGGGAGTCTATCGTGGGGTCGGGGAGGGTTAATGGGGGTTTATTTATAGATCTAACCTGGTAGCAATGGTCAATATGCCATGGGTTGGCGTTGGCCTCGCTGTTCATGTCCGCCCCCATTGGTCCAGCTATCTCAGACATAACCCGATCAATATTATCAGCACTAACACTCAACTGACGGAGGTGAATCCCTTATTTTGGTACCCCGTTGAGTTAAAAAATGATTGGGAACGCCTCGGTTTGCCCTAATGGACCAGTGGGCTGTTGAACATTAGAACAAAATAAGCTGAATTTTCCCAATCCAATTAGCAAAGACTCGGGGCACAGTTAATTGGTTTCCTTATTCCACTAACCTAATTAGACTATAATCTTATCATATTCATTGAGTTTACGCATTAGATGAATGCGTTTTTGAAAATAATGAAAAATGCGTTTTTTGGTATAAATGACAAAAAATTGTACCATTGGTGTAAGATTAAAAACAGAAATCGAAATTGAGGAAAGGGAAATTATCATCCACAGGGAAGATCCTCAACATTATCTAGAAGTGTAATTCAACTAAATCAGTATTCAAAGCAACGTGTTTGATTTAAAGGATACTATGAGTCACAGAGATAACTCCATCGGATGCTTTGAGATACAGAAAAAATTAGACCGTAAAAGGTCTTTATCCAACAACGTGGAGTACTCGATCATTCCAGTGCCCATAAAAATCGATCGTTCTTCTCTGGACATTTGTCTGGAACTAAAACTGAAACTCCAAGCAGCAAGATTTTTCAGTTTTGGGCATCATTTTACGTAGCTTCTCGCAGGTGAAAGGAAGATGACTCTAAATGTATGGTTACTCCGCAAGTAAAACAGAAAGTTCCGATCACAAAAAATGAAATATACTTATTTTTTGCAAATTGCAATACGGCACGATTTGAGGCTGTTTGAAAGTCTTAATACCTGTTACGCAAACCAACACGAAAAGCCGATAGCTTTGCCCGGAACTTTCTGCTTTCTGCCCACGGTCGTTTGGCTATGAGCGGATCTGAACAGTAGCCTAGAAAATAAGTATATTGACATTTGCATAAACACATACTAGCGTTTAACGCACCTCCGGTGCTTCGAAATTTTTCGACAACTCATGAAAAACCGCATATATTGGGAACAACATCTGCAAACTTTTAGTGTACTCTGACTGCGCCCAATTATAGGGTTGGTAATTTCAAACTTTTTAATTTTAATTATTTTTTAAAAATTTTAATTCTTATTTTAAAAGCGTCATCTCGAAAAGTTAATGGGCCTCTGCAGAAATTTGGAGGCCAGATTTGCAACCACTGAGAGTCCCTGAGAGCACCCTACTATAGAGTTAGGAATTCAAAATCAAAAAACGTCACACCTCGGAAACTAAAAGCATTTGAGCAGTCGCGTTTAGCAGTCGCATGTGGCAAGATTTGCAACTCTTTGGAGTACCCTGACAACAGCGTTGGGAATTTCAAATTTTGAAAAACAATTAAATTAAGATTTCTGAAAATTTTGAAAAAATCACAAAAAACGTCAATCTCGAAAACTACAAAGAATTGAGCAGTCATAATTGGAGGCAAGATTCGCAATCCTTGAGAGTACTCTGACAGGACCTAAGTTCAGGGTTGCGAATGTCAAATTTTAAAAAAATTATAATAAATTAAGTTTTCTGAAATTTTTTGAAAAAATCACAAAAAACGTCATATCTCGAAAACTACAACGATTTGAACAGTCAAAATTGGAGGCGAGATTTGTAATTGCTTAGAGTACTCTGACAGCAACCAAATACAAGACTGGGAATTTCTGATTTTTAAAAAAACAATCATAATCTAAGTTTTGTGAAACTTTTTGAAAAAAATCACAAAAAACATCATATCTCAAAAACTACAAAGAATTGAGCAGTCATACTTGGAGGCAAGATTCGCAATATTTGAGAGTACTCTTACAGCACCCAAACCCCAAACACAGGGTTAAAAAACTTAAATTGAGCTTTCCAAAAATTTTTGAAAAAGTCACATAAATCGTCGTCTCTCGTACACGAAAAGGATTTGGGCATTCATAATTGGAGACCGAATCGCAACCCCTGGGGGAACTTTGACAGCATCAATTTTTTGTGTTGCTAACTTTTAACTCGGTGGTAAAAACACTAGGCTCAAACTGAAACATCGAAAAAAAATTATAGCTTTACCACGCATAGATACGTTATGCCCTTAACTGTTGCAAAAAAACGCTTAAACATGGCAAGATACATGTCACACACATTTAATATAGTTTAGATGACGTATCGGGCGAATGGACTTGTCATGGGAAATAAAGTAGTCGAGGTTTGCTTTTCTGAGTTCGACGTCCAAATAGTTACCACATGATTTTGTTACCTGTAATTTTTCTTGTAAACTTTAACTTCTTCTGCCAATTTTGTTTCGATTTGCATCTTGTTTTCAAAGAAAATAAAGATTGTGAAATTGTTTTGGTGGGATAACGTCTTCAGGGTTAGGAATTTCAGATTTTTAAAACAATAATTTAAATTTTCTGAAAATTTTTGGAAAAATCACAAAAAACATCATATCTCGAAAACTACAACGATTTGAACAGTCAAATTTGGAGGCGAGATTTGTAATTCCTTAGAGTACTCTGACAGCAACCAACTACAAGACTGGGAATTTCGGATTTTAAAAAAAATAATCATAATCTAAGTTTTCTGAAACTTTTTGAAAAAAATCACAAAAAACATCATATCTCAAAAACTACAAAGAATTGAGCAGTCATACTTGGACGCAATGTTTGTAATCTTTGAGAGTACTATGACAGGACCTAACTACAGGGTTGGGAATTTCATGTTTTTAAACTATTTTATTTAAAATTTCTGAATACTTTTGAAAAAATCTCAAAAATTGTCTTATCTCGTTAACTGAAATGATTCGGGCATTCAAAATTGGAGGCCAAATTCGCAACCCCTAATTCAATAGTGGGGCTGATCAATTTCAACTCGGTAAAATAACCACTAAAATCAAATTGCAAAAACGAAAAAAAAAATTCTTAACCATTGCAATATACGATATAGCTTAAACATGCAAAAATAATACGTTGAAAATGCTTAAACATGGCGAGATAGTGAAGCCCGCATTTAAATGTATAATAGATTTTATTTAAAATTTCTGAATACTTTTGAAAAAATCTCAAAAATTGTCTTATCTCGTTAACTGAAATGATTCGGGCATTCAAAATTGGAGGCCAAATTCGCAACCCCTAATTCAATAGTGGGGCTGCTCAATTTCAACTCGGTAAAATAACCACTAAAATCAAATTGCAAAATCGAAAAAAATTCTTAACCATTGCAATATACGATATAGCTTAAACATGCAAAAATAATACGTTGAAAAAGCTTAAACATGGCGAGATAGTGAAGCCCGCATTTAAATGTATAATAGATTTGACCTTTTTAAATCAAGAAATTAATCGACAAAGTTTTCTTTAAAAAAATTTTAACAATTTTTTTAAAAACTTGTTTTTCTCTACGCTCATAAGGAAATGTTTTAATAGAGTTCGTATGACGGTTTGAATGACGAATTTTGGAGCGCGATTCGGGCCCCAGTCGAAATTGAATCCGATTCTTATGTCGTCTCCTGCATGTTCCTTGCCGCTATGCTGAATGGGCCGAAGTGAGTTCAAACTTACTGTGATAGACGTAATTTAACATTTCACGTGATATTTCTGTTATCAAAGACGTTTTCGGGAAAAAAATCAAGAATTTTGATTACAATGAAATTGCTAATCGCTAAGGTAATGAATAATTGTTAAAGTTCACCCAAAAAAAAACTTTTTTGGATTTTTAATCTAGAGTTTTGAGCATCTTAGAAAACAATCTTGTAGCATCGCAGTGGGACTTAAAATCTATGCTAGTTTTTTTGAAAAGCAAAAATTGGTTCTTAATTTCAAAATCATTTTTTTTCTGATGTCAACTTGTTCAATGTTTTTCGGAAGCAAATCACAATGGAAAAAGTTTCAATATGAAGAAGTTCTCTAAAAAATTTGAGGTTACTCAAAGCAATTTCTTTATTATTTTTCTATTTGATCTATTTGATAACCTTATATTTTGTCTTGTCTTTCTAGATGTCTTGAGACAAAACTAAATAATCAGGTAACACTATTTTTATTGTCTCAAGACATCTGGAAAGACAAGTCAGACTATGAAGCTACTTAATGAAAAGTATCGAAAAAAAATTCAAATCTTGCATTGGCCAAGTGCCTTCAGAAAACTAACATTTTATCATATTGAAGCTTTTTCAATTGTGTTTTGCAGGGGCGGATCTAGGATTTTCTCGAGGAGGGGGACGATTTTCAAAAAATTTTGACCTTTTTTTTTTTGGTCAACCAAATTGATTTTTCGAGCTCTCCCAAAACACTGTTTTGCCCCTGTTTTGGCAAAATTTTCTGCGCCGCAGGCAAATTTTTGAAAAAACAGTCAAAAAATCCGTTTTTGGGCACTTTTTGAAAAATTTTGACAAAAAATCGCGTTTTTTTTGGCGCGCGCTCCCCCTCAAAGTTAGTATATATTGGCGCCAAAGGCGCCTTTAGAAATATTTTAGGGTCGGTCGGCCAAAAATGGATTTCTGAAAAAGTATCAAAGGGGGACCCTTTGGGTCGGCAGGGGGTCGAATCCCTGAGGGGAGGGGGGTGTCCGCCCCCCCCCCCCCTAAATCCGCCCCTGGTGTTTTCGCTTCCAAAAACAATGAAAAGTTGTCAAGAACAAAACGTAGGATGATTTGCTTTTCTGTGTCAACAGAGAAATAAACGTTGAACTAGTGAATGGAGAAATGAACCTTACACTGCCTTAATCGCAGCAACTAACTTGGTGGGGTTTGAGTGTGGTATCACAATTAAGTTTTCTCTGCCGTAACTAAAGTTTCTAAATCATATCGAAAGTTTCAGTAATTTTTCATTATCGAGAAAACCGGTCTGCTTTATCCCTCTTTTCAGACAACTCGTCTTGGACGAATTGACTAGAATTACATGGAGAACTCCTTGTTATCCATCTCTTACAATCTTACGTCAATTGAGCTATGATAACCTTAAATTTTATTTCGAAAAAAAACTTACACAGCTTTAAAATATGGCCCTTCAAACTATGCAAAACTCGAGTTTTGCAGCTCCAGCCAACATACACGGCTGAAAAAAACGTCACTCTTCAAATTAGGGCGACTAAGCTGTTTAAAATTTTTTCAAAATCTTCTAAGCCGAATAACATTTAAAGCGAAATAAACAAAGAAAGAGAAACTTGAGTGTAACGTCTTAGAAAAGTCCGTTATATTAAGAGTGCTATAATCATCCATATTTCCTTATTACCATATATGGAGCTTGAACTTGTATACCATCATAGGAATGTAAAATCACTTGCTCAAACACGAAACACCACAAACAATTCTTGTATTTGCTAAAAC